GGATGCCTCCGGCATTTTGTCTTTGACGGCCTCGAACAACTCGCTCGTAGGTCCGTCCTCTTGAACCAAGACTGATCCAAGGGTTACTTGTTTCGAAGTGCCCTTCATCGTCTTTATACTTCTAGTGCTCGTTCTTCGAGTCACCACGACCTTTGACCTGGAAGAAGGTGTCGTTGCTATCTCAGCTAACGCACTCCTTCCAACCGCACCAGGATCATAGATCTGTGCCGATTCTTGTGGCGCTTGACTTCCTGTCAGCCCACCATCAACTGCCACAGGCTCTCGGCTCTGTGCAGGACCATTGGACGCATTACTACTTGTCATTGTCCCATTCACTACACCAGTCTTCTCGAGCTGGGTACAATTTGTGTCATCTGACTTTATGTCAGGACACTTTCAACTACTTCAGGCTCAACGAGCTGGGTAGTATCTGGTGCCGATTGACATACTGTCATCGCACCCTCGACTGTGTTGGACACAGCATCAGCCACATAATCCTCTCGCAAGAGAACATCCTTTCCGGTGTCTTGCGTAGAGTTAGTGACTGTGCGTGTACGCCAGTCTATTCATGTTTGGTGTTTAGCCAACCAAGGCATGCCAAGAATGAGGTCATACGGACTCTCCATACCTAGCACTTTGAACTTCTCTTTACAAGAGAAGTCACCGAAACTGAAGTCGAGTTCAACTTGAACTCCGTATGATTTTACGAGACTGTCGTTCGCTAAACGAACGGTCGCCTATTCTCTCTTGCCATCCTGGCAAAGAGACTCATAACTAGCCGGACTCTTTTTCAGAGCCGCTAGTTTCACAAAGTTAGTGATGCACCCGAATCCACGAGAAGGGTCATCACTTGGTCATAGTCTCGTACTCGAGCGCTATAGACCAACAGGGATGAGGTCCGACCTTTCGGTACCTCAGAGACTATTCTACCCTTTTGTTGGATCACTCTATACATAGGGGTAGCTTCAGAGTCCGTGACAGCAGGGCATCCCGCCCTACTGCGCTCCCGCATTTCCCGAATTGTCGGGAGTCGAATCCGAACCCGTGCGACGTGCACGGTTCTTCGAACCACCCTTCGGGTTGGGATACTTCTTGCTGGCTTCCTTAGCACCAGCAGCAACTTTGGCATAGCAGCGAGCCAACATATGGCCTCGCTTGCCACACTTGTAGCAGACCACGTCTGCATTGCCTAACTCCAATAGGAGTGGCATCAGACTTCTCGGCCGACAGCTTATAAAAAGCTGTCGCCGAGGCGCTGTTGTAGAATTTCTCCTCAAATAAGGCAATGTCAATTGCCTCTTCCATCGTCGCTGTCACCTTTCTAAAAGGGCCTGAAACGATGGGAAGTGCCGTAGTCCGTTCATGAACGTAGGCACTTTAATGTATTCCGGAATCGAACCCACATTAATGGAGGCCAACAGCAAATGCATCGCCTGCACATACTCTTCCAAAGATCGTTTTGCCTGTTGTGCTCCAAAGAAGCACGCCTGAAATTATAATTCATTGTTAGGCGGCTGGTATATGGCACGAATCTTTGATTTAAAGATCGTCCATGATGGAAACGCATCGGCGTTTGCCATAAGTGCAGAGTAAGCCCACTCTGACGCTTTGCCACGGAAATTTGACATGGCATACGACACCATCCTGGTGTTGTCTTCGATGAGCTGCGCCATGCCGCATTGGTCCACGGCTAAAAGCCAGTGGAAAATCGTATGTGAGGCAGTCCCATCAAAATTCGGAGAATCCATTTAAATGGACCTTGGCTGATTAGACCGGGCAGAGAGCGTCTCAACAAATCTGTTGAGCCACTCATCCGAGCTTGCTCACGCAAAAGCTCATCCTGAGTCTTATTGATGGATTCAGCCGTGGCTTGGCTGTTTGACTCGGACGCATTTCTACGCTGTCCGAGCACAAACGCCTCAAATTGCTCCAACTGAGCAACATGTTGTTCAAGAGGACAATGCAAGATGTTGACCAGGGCTTGTTTACCAAGTCCCTGCACCACGTTCTCTGCCATCTCCCTATGATATTGGGAGAGGAGAGGAAATCACCCCAATCCATGTTAAGGACCATCTTTACCACACGCACGCTCAGAGAGACGGGTCGTGGGAAGGAATACTAGTGCTACCAAGTATAGACGGGCGCTTTTATAGAAGCTGCCAGTACTACGCAGGCACCCCTTCAAGCAGCTTGAGGAAGCGGTTCGACCGTCTTACCTTCGCGTGCGAGGGTGGTTGTGTGGTTGGTCGACTTCTTAAGCGGTCGTACCACCAGTTGCCTCTCGCTTAAGCGAAAGTGCAACGAACTTCTATCCGCACGGTATTAGCTGCATGGCACCGTGCGGACATCTTATGCAGGTAATATTCCCAATATTTCGCGGTCGAGCTCAAACAATTCTACGCCTCAGCCCTTCATCACGGGCACTCTACTTCAGTGGGAATCCTTCTTCACGGGAGGCGAAGTGGGTGGGGTCATGTCTCGGGCATGTCTCTTGCGCGGCCACGAATCGTGAGGACAGCTGACCAGGGGAAGAGACATCAGCTAATGCCATCCCCTTTCCACGCATCATCGCGTCATCGCTTCAGCAATCACGCAATCCAAGTTCGACGGGACGCACAAGCGGACAAACAACAAGTCACCGACGTCACGCAGAAGCTTTCACAGCTTCTCGTGCGTGGTGCGTATGTTTAAGAAAATTCAAGACTGAGCTATATTCAAAGTATTGTAATTAAATATAAACCTAACTACTGATTAACTATATATGTATATAGATCGGATATGCGACTCTTTAGAAGCGTATCCTGACGCATGAGCTTAAATCTAGATTTGAGCTTGCTAATGACGTCCTTCTGAGACGGCGCGATGCCTAGCTTCAACTAGCGTCATCCCTTCCCATGTGAATTCATCAACGGATATCACATTCACGAGGGTGGATCACATTTGTGTATCGCACCCAAGTGACAGGTCAAAAGTAATCATGAATACTTTTAGACCTTACATTAAGTATATTACTTAATGTTTACGTGTAACTAGATTCTTCTTACATCCAACAACAAGTAACAAACATTTACCCACTGTACCTTCGGTTGAATCATAGTTCAATCCTCCTCGGATCGCAATATATCTTGCTCACGTAGTGACATCAAAACATTTAAAGTCTCCACTTCATGAGTCCTCATGATCAATTTACTTTTTGAAAAAGCGTACCGAGTCAGTACGTCTCGTTCCTCTTACAATATACGTTAAAGATCTAGCTTTTCCTTATAAATCGACGACTGGCGCTTCTTTTGATTGCAGATGCTGTCCGCCTGTTTTGTCCGACATCATATTTAGGATGGCTGACCGTTCTTTCGAGGTGCAGCTTACAAGAGTCACTTGACTGCAATTGTTACTGCGACGTTTGTCACGTACTTATACAAACCAGGAGGAGGCGATGAGCACGCAAAGAGGAGGTCATTTTTTGTTAAAACTGAATGAGTACCTGTCACATTTCAATCTCAAAACGACAGCGACTTAGGTAACGAGAGCAGAAATGACCCACTCACCCTTGTGATAGGTGCAGACGGACTGCGTTGCTTTAGTTCAAGCTGACCTTCTGCGGCGCTTGTAGTATGCATATGCCTTAGTATAGACGCAAAGCAATATCCGTGCCATTTTCCCTTCCTTTCTGCGACGTGCAGAGCGTCATGTGGTCACTAACAGGCGTTAAAGGCACAGTCTTCTGTCAGTGTCTACCTGACATGCGAATCGGTCTACCTGACATGCGAATCGGTCGAATGTCTGCTTTCATCATGTTCTCGATCCAGTAACCCTTAGTGCTGGGGACTATTGTCGGAAAAATGCGAGTTTTGCATAGCCTTGTTACCTGATAAAGACATTTAACAGCACTCGGCTTCTGCTATGGAGGAAAAGTTTATGCTTTCTAGAGTTGATTGCTTTGAAGCCATTAAAGCTTTCAGGAAAGCTTACTACGACCGCGAACGTGTTCCTAGAGTGAGCGCAATCTACCGCCTCGACTGATCACGCTCGTTACTTTAGTAAAGCATTTTGCTTGACCCGAAAGCATTCAGGGATTGGGGCAGCAGAGTCCGTTGGTGAGGGTCAATCGTGACCAAAAGAATTCCGATGAAGGTGAAAATAGAAAAATCTTTTGACAAAGTCTATAATATATCAAAGATGTCGAGGCACAAGATGGATGCAAGCGCGTTAGACTATAAAGCATCATTCGATCTTTTGTAGGTGAGAAAAGAGCAGATAATGCGTCGAAGTTTTTTTCGAAGTCGTGATGTTGTTGCACGTTATGTGATAGTACGTGCGAGTTGACGACAGTATTAACAGAATCAGATGCGTTAAAAGAACTAGTGGATGACAAACAAACAAGAAGCAATAACAACTTTGGCTAGAATCAGAACTCGATACCGATAGAATTAAAGTCTCTCACGTGAAAAACACTTGAGGGACGTCATAGCTTTTTGTTACATCATTATAAGCGTTTAGGCTGCCTACTGTATACTATCTTTCGGATATATGTCTGTGCGAACACTTGCTTTTATATTGGGACTAAACATAGTCAGATAGATATCAAGGGGCTAAAGTATGGTAAGACTAAAAGAGACAGATTATCCCCCCCCCCTGTCTGATTATCGGCTTTAGTTATAGTGGTACACACGATGAATCTTAAAAACCCCTCCCCCCGCCAGCTGGTAAACTCTACAACCTGCAGTACTTAATCTCCCTTGTTTCTTTCATATAAAATCTTTGCTATTTTGCAACAAATCTATAGTTCAACCCCCTGCATCAAAATATATTCCTTTCACATCTTTCAATGTTGAAGTATTCTCAGTTTTATTATGGTCCACCCCCATCCATACAGTACAATGTAAGCGCCTTCCATCACTCCCGTCCTCCCCCAGCCACAAATTTCCCCTCTTCACTTGGTCTTTTGCCGCCTTCAACACAAGTGTCTCATCTGCAACGTCAACTCAGTGACCATCACTCTGATGTTGTTCCATTTGACCCGCACGAAAGCCGAGAAAGCTCAACGTCGTTTGCTCAAAGAACTTGAACGTGAGGCCAAGGCACAATGTAAAGACGCTGCGAAGGAGCACAAGGCACAAGAGGCACTTGTCAAGCAGCAACAAAAGGCCGTCAAGAAGCAGCAAAAGGCCGTCAAGAAGCAACAAAAGGCCATTCAACGGCAACAAAAAGAAGCTCTAAAAAGTCATAAGAAGGCCGTGCAAGTGGCGAAAAAAGCCGCCAAGAGACGCACTCGCGTGGCTCAAAAGACGGCAAAAGAGCAACACCGACGGGCCCGTTTCCACTCGACAGTAACAGCTCCAGCCTTTGCAAAGAGCACAAGCTGTTTTGTCTGTGGAAAGACGTTTACTCGGTCACTTTCTCGACGTCGTCATCACTGTCGACAATGCCGGGAGAGCTGCTGCTTGCATTGCATGAGTCCGACACGTCGTCCAGTGCCTTTCTATGGACTTGACAAGCCCCAAAAGGTCTGTGTCGTGTGTGACACGCTCGTACTTAATGAGGAGAGACCACGTGAACCAGTTGAAGCACTTGCTGCCCTTGCTGCTGCGAATCGGACGACGTCAAGACGTCCGCATTCAGCTCCTTTACCACCTACTGATACTGTAACTGTGGCAATGCCATTGACACGTCGAGGTCATGGACGTTCCAAGAGCAAGAGCAGCTCGCTCTGGACGCTCCCGATTCGACCGCTTCTCAAGAAAAAGAAAAGTGCGGAGCAATTGCGGAACCGCACGATGGATTTCAACTTGCAGAATGACAAGCACATGGTCTTTAGTGGTCGCTCGATTGAACTCCAGCCGCAGACGATGGCCCCACCAATGCCATAAGGATGGAAAGCTGAAAAGGACAAGAGGTGCGTGGACTGTGGTTTCCATTGACTGATTTTATCCCCTTAGTGGCTGTAGTGTGTTGTCATTGAATGAAAAAAAGTCACAGCTGAAGCCAAGATGTGACTCAGTGGATTTCGCTCGATTGGAATCCATTTGAACGTACAGAGTTTTGTTCTAATTCGTCTTTGTACAGGCACGTGCGTAGTGTTGGACGAGCCACATGTTGTGGTTCTGTGTGTCATCTTCATAGAAACTGTCGGATGTTTTGAACTACTCATGCATTTGGCATTAATACTAACTAACGCTACGACTACCAAAAAGGACACCAACCGATGTAGCATTGGCAGAGATTTTCGTGAGACGTGGCCTGGGAAATGAGACGTTGTACCTGTGCACTGACATCAAGTGGCTCACCACCGTCACCTTCAAAGTCGCGACCCGAAAGTTTTGCCTGTACGCGGCGAATGACAGCCACAGCTTTTTCGTTTAATGCAACGCGAGGTGCTGCAATACCTTCGGGTCCTAGAGCATTCAGCAGCTCGCGTTCGCGGACACTGCGGTTACCGTGCACGTCATTTGTCACGGACCGTGGTATTGCATCCGAGGAAGGCGGGATCTGAGCAGCCGTCACCGATACAAACGAGGTCGATGCGGCCGGAACCATACGAGGTGGGGGACCTACAGGAGTACTCAGCACTACTGGTTGGCGTTCTCCGCCGGCTCGAGATCCTTGGCCGTTCTCAGGTTGTTGCCGCTGTTGTTGTTGTATCTGCGTCTGAACTTGAGCTTGCGTGACGGAAAAACTGCGGCTCAGACTAGAATGACCAACGCTGGAGACGCTCGCCGCGAGGGATGAAATCTCTGCGTGCAAGTTTGTCGTCGCATAGTTGACCTTCTCGACAACATTAGACTCCTCGTTCTCATCGATAGCAACCTCGCAAACTCGGTTTCCTACAGGAACACGAGGCGGAAGCTTGCGCATAGGAAGCGGGATGGACTTGCTAAGACTCATCGGTCGCAATGACAACGACGACGGCAGCGGTGGCAGAGCTGGCTCCGCTTCCTTTACTCCTGGACGTGGCGGAAGCTGGCGCGTAACAGCTAAACTGGCGCTGACCTGGCGTGGTGCAGGAGGCTTAGCGTGAGGAGGAAACTGTCGCTGCGGATCGGGGGTGCTAGTTTCATCAAGATCACTACTATCTGCATCTTCGTGTTTGGTGGTCGTGTCCTCGTTTGCTGCTGCACTCAATCCGTTCGCCGCTTGCTTTTCAGCCGAATTACGCAGAGACACGCCTTGAGTAGCTTGTGCCCGACCAGCAATGTGTCGAGGATCATCTCGATCATCAAGCAGCATGGCTGTCGACGAAGGTGCCGAGTCTGGGATCGAAATGCTTTCGCTGCGGCGGTGTGGTGCCTTTTCCTCATCAGAACCATGAGACAGCCTTTCTGATGGTCCATGCGATGAAACTTCTGACGGACCGTGGGATGAAGCTTCTGATGATTCGTACATACTCTCGTCACTTTCGCTGTTCATGCTCGACACGAATGATGAAGATACAACACTAGACGCGACGGAGCTACCCGCGTGGCTTGTAAGCGGCACATTTGTCGCTGAAAGCAGACGCCAGTTGATCAGTGGATCGTGTACGAAAGCTTCCAGCATGGCCATGAGACTATGACGATTCTCGCGTAGTACAGCCATCACGCTTTCGCACGAAAAACGAAAGTTACCTTCAATGCCACTCACCTCCATTGCGTTCGTCAACATTCGCGTCAGGCGGAACGGGATTTTTTCAGGGTACTTCTCGCGGTCCATTGCGACTTCAAAGCAATCACCAAAATCGATATGGACAATGGTTCCCGTAAAACGATGCAACATCAAATTGCTTGGGTGGCGATCGCCGAGTCCAAGGATATAGCCCACCATTGACATGACAGCAAGCGAACGCGTATAATTTGTACGCCGGTCCAGCCAAACCTCCGAATTTTCTGACTTCAGCCACAGTACCTTGTACAGATCCTGACCGGCCGTGTTCTCCAATGCATACTGAAACACTTCAACCTTCTCGAGCAGTGTCAAAGCGTCGTAGTCCGGTGCCATTTGCAACATCAGTCGGTGCTCAATGTTGAGCAAAATCTTGCGCGCCTCGCGATAATCGCGGATCAATTGGTGAAGTGTGTCACAATGTGGCACCCAGCCCACAATTCCAGCATTGTCAGATAATGGAATGACGGGGTACCGATGGATCTTCAAATCCTTCTTCGACGTGTTTCGATCATTAATCAGCAACGCGTTTACCAAACCAAAGAGCTGCGTCACGCGTTCGTCTTGGCGCAAATCTTCGTGGCCTTTGAGCAAAAACATGTACTCCAGACCGTTGGAACCAACAATTGTAATCCGGCGAGGTCGCTGCTTGCTTGTGATTACTGCCACCGTAGGCAAGAAACTACCGATCTTCACAATCGCATGGCCAGCACGGTATGTGCCTGGTACTGCAAGCTGCAGATTTCTCGCGGACAACAGATTCGGAGAAACCACCTGCAGTTCCAAAGTTGTGATCTGCGGTAGCTGTTTGTTAATGCGACGGAAGACGTGGTAGTATAGATCCCATGCGCGGTTCAGGTCCGACTCGTTGCGTCGGTTGCTCAGGAATCGTTGCAGCCACTCATTGGCTTCTCGTAAATCTCGGCCAAACGCCCCATGGAAGCTTACCTCACGTAAGGTTTCTGGGCCACGCTCCATCATCGCGTGCAGTGGCCTTAGCACTTCAGCCATGCCGTCCACATTGTGCTCACCAAAGTATAAGCGCGAAGCTTCCTCCAGACCTTCATGCCACATCTCGTGCCACAAAATAGCAACGCGGATAAGTTCACGACTCACAAGCAACGCTTCGTCCACGAGCTTCACGTAATTAGTACGCATGGTGCTCATGATAGCTTCGGCGGCTTGCTGGCGCTCACACACGGACGACTTCAGCGCCACGGACAAGGGGTAGATAAGAGCATGCGGGTGCTGCTTACCCACAGCTACAAGTAAACGATGCAATTGTTTCTGGATACGTGGGTATGGAGTGTGAATACGCGCAATTAGCTGGGGAATCACAATCAGCCACGTTTCGATGCTTACGGAGCGGAAACCCTTTTCCAAGGCAGCATGTACATCAGTGCGGTGACCATGCGCAAACCAAAGCGTGAGCACACGCAGAATGTCTTGCTGCACATTGGCAGCCCAGCGGCTGCGACCCAATGCGACCGATCGAAAAAAACCCTCAATTGCGGGAGCAATGTACGGAGCCACTGATGCAGATGCCGCGACGGCCGACGCTGTCGTATTAGCTGAAATATGCTGGCTGTGCGTTGAGTGCTCAACCACTTGGAAGTTCATTAATGCCCACGCGTGCCACGCTTTGTAACTGCGGGGCTCTAGCTCCGTGCACAAACGCAGTGAAGACAAAACACTCTCCACAGGTACATGTTCGATCTGCTGGTCGTGCATAGCAAGCTGCCACTCGGCCTTCTTCAAGTGGCACTTGACAAGGAGCTCTTCTTCTTCGCGTCTCATAGGCATCATAGTTGGTGCAGGAGAAGGCATGCCACCCGTTCCGGCTGACACTTGGGACTGTTGCCGCGCCATGGACGAAATACGAACGATCAATTGGTGCAAATCAGAGAGCGCTTCGTGCTTCTGTCCAGCAGCCCATAGGTGCTTCAGGTATGCAAATGCAACCCGGTTGCGGTCTTTTTCGCCAAAGCCGAAAGATGCAGCTGACCCTGAGCTCGATGGTGTCACCCTTAACATCTCTGAAATTCCAGAACTACTAGATCCAGCACCCCCGTGAATATGCAGTGCATTCGTAAAGACCTTCAAAGATAATGAAAGATTTCCAGACTGACGACACAGACTAGCGAATTGCAGATACGTATCGATGTCTTCATGCGGTGACAAGATCAAAGCACGGACGGCAATCAATTGCTGCCACACTTCCACCACACGCTTGCAGCCTGAAAGACGATCATGCCACATACGCATCAAGTGTCTTTTGTAGCGTGCAGCTTCTTCGCTCTTAGAAATCTGAGCTCGAAGTTTCTTGTACGTCACAATCTCCTCCAACTCACTAAGCTGCTGCAGGGTCACCATACTGCGATACGCACGGCTGTATGACTCGACGACAAGTGCACCAAGTTTTGTGTCGAGAGTTTTACGTGTCGCATCAATCAGTGTTTCTGCTTGCACGAATGTGCCATGGTGCACCGCCAAAATTGACTGGTACAACGACAATTCGGTAACATCCTCATCAGCGCCAAAAATTCCATGACCATGAGTGTGTCCATATCCGTAGCCATGACCATTGCCACTTGCAGCCCTGGAAATTAACGCGTTGTTGGTTTTGCTTGAGTCGTTCTGTGCTGCGCACTCTGTCACATACTCTGTCATGTTGTCCCATTGCGATAAACACCAGCTTGCCCGAGCACCAAGCATCGCCACACGTCTAAGTGCAGTGGCCTCGTCTCCGCGATCATCCCCCACTTGATATGAAAACGACGATGGAGGATTCCCCGCAGCAGCCAAAGACGAAGACGAGCCATGACTGCTGTTACTTCCTTTGCGTAGGAGAGAAGGTTTGTCTTTTCCAGACGTAACACTCGAAGGAGCTCGGCCAGCAGACATTAAGCGACCACGGGAAGGCGGCCCGCTACTTTTAGGTGGGTTTTGTTCGGGTGAGCGCAAAAAATTCCACACTTGCGCAGCTAGCGCACTCAGCTCCTCCCATTTCCCGAGAGCTTCCAAGCACCGCATCTTGCCGATACAGACTTCAACATCCAGTCCTTGTTTACCCTCGCCACCCTGCGCGCACTGGAGTCGCCGGTCATACAAGGCAAGGGCTGCACGCCAGTCTTGCAGCTTTTCGAACCACGTCTCCTTTACCTGAATAACGCGGCTATGATGCGCTTGAGCATACTTTAGAATTCCGACAGCAGCCTCGGGTTGACCTAGCTGGTTGTTGATGGAGATAAGCGCCTCAATACACGTACTCGGCGATGTGTGGAACTCGAGTTCCTTGTAATGCAATGCCTTGGCATAAGCGTGACATTTTTGTGCTAGCTCGCCCAGCTCGCGGATATCGATGGGCAATGCTTCCACATCGTGCTCCATAAATTCAGCGAGATTCAGCAATGTCTGCAAAATCTCGGCCGGAATTGTGTCACTCTGGAAGGCAGTCTCGAGAGCACGAACAAGATAATCTTGGTACTGTTCATATAGCTCATTCCAGCAAGAAACAAATGCCGGGTTAAATAATGCACGCGCCAAGGGGTTATACGCCTGAGCTAGTGCACAACATGAACGAAGAGCAGCACTGGGAGACTCACGGAGCAGTTCAATGGAAAATCGCCGCATCCACTCAAGCCAGTCCTCCTTCGTGCTGCGCTGGGACGCCTCCCAAGCCCGTCGCAAATTCTGCTGGTTGACATGCAGTCGTCCATTAGACGGCAAAGATGCCGGTGGAGTCATTGAAGCTGCAGTCTGAGCTTGCAATTCGGTAGAAAATTTGCGCAGAGCTGACGTCATAAAGACAGGGTCGTCCAGGAATGAACGTGGAACACGTGCACCGTGACGTAAATTTTCAAGCACCTGAGCAATCCGCTGCACCATGGCTTGAGGAGATGAAGAAGGATTGTTGCTTTCATGGGCATTTGCAGCTGTACTAAGGTTGCCGCGGTGAGTGAACGGCAAGGACGCAATAATCTGCTGCAGCAACGGTTCAAAGCTCAAAATCTCCGCTTGTAGCTGAAACACCAGAGCACTTAGCGCGTACAGCATCACTTCTGAAAAACGTGTAGCTTCTGTTTTCGTGGTTGCAATTCTTGCTGCTACCGATTCACCTGAACCCCCTCCCGACGATGGCGGCACACTTGTGCTACCACTCACGCTGATACTCGCATTACCACTTCCGCGGCTGAAAAAAAATGGCCCCTTCGCTGATATCTGCGAAGCTACCCGTGCAAGAGGCTGGAGCAATCGTGGCCCGGCATACTGGTCAAAGTTGGCAACCACGCTTATTCGCGCTAAAGCATAGACTGTAGTAATCTTCACTTCAAGTGGGGTATCCAAGCTTTCCATGAGATGCACAAGTGCAGGCACGAGCAAGTATACATAATCATCCACAGCGTCGCCAAACACAATCAGCGACTGAACCACTTGCACCTGGATCGCTGCCACAGTGCTCGCATCCGTACCGCCATTTTGCGCGGCATCATAGGTACTAGACACGTGATCACTCTTTCCTCCAGAAGCGTTGCTATTCCCCTGTCCATGAATATCGCTACCTCCTACTCCAACCGCACCAGCTCCGTCTCCAGAGCTTTGCGCGATAGCGGTCGCAGCACTTCCTCCTGCATTAGCTCCAGAAATATCTCCGTCAGTAGCGCTACTACCCAAGCCAAAATGTGGTTGAAGGACTTCAAGCAGCTTAGGCAATAACTTTGGAATGTACTGCGTGCGAAACGCGTGTGGTGCGGCCTGCGAGATTTTCTCCACAAGACGCACAATCTGTGGCAAATGTGATTCCCAAAACCGCAGTGCAAGCACCATTATTGGTGGGAAAAATGGCTTCATGTGGGCGTTGACGATAGATATAAGCGTAGTTAGCTGTAGAAAGAGCGACTCGCGTAATCGTGGCTCACCGCGTGCCAGTACTCGCAGGAAAGGAGGCAAAATGAACTTAAGGAATGGCACGCATTGCGTGCTAAGGCTCTTGAAGATGAACATAATAGCTTGGATGACCCCATGGTGATGAGCGTTGAGCGACGGCTCGCGAAGGATACGCAACAGCGCATGAATGGCCACTGTTGGAAAGTACGCCTCCGACGCTGGAGACAACTCCGTGGGATCAAGCTCCAGTTCGCTGTCCATTAGTGAGCTCTCAAAGTCAAACGTATCGTCATTTAGACTCATACCAGTAAAGCCTCCTTGTCGCTTCTTGCGGGAAGATGACGTTAGCGATGATGGTACTACCGCAAATGCCGCAGACATGCCGCTTGCCGGATGAGAGGATTGCAAACCGACGCCCAATGTTCCAGCACCAGCACCAGCTTCAATTTTTCTAGTACCAATAGGTGCAGCAGTAAATAACTGCAGCTCAATTTGTTGCTTCTCGTCCAGTGCGTCGCTTGTTGCTTTCCGGTCAAAGCTTGCAAGGTTGATTGTCACGCCCAACGCCTGTAGGTCAATATCCAGCGTCGGGTACTGTGATACCAGCGTACCAGGAGCCGATTTTGATACACCAAGCGTGGATCTGTCAGCAGCCTTCTCCTCTACCTCCGTAGCCGTTGAAGTATCAGCTGTAGATGCAACTTCGTTCGCTTGCCGTAATGATGCCCGCGACATGCACAGCTTGTACTTGTAAGGGTCCAAAACACCAAGAATGCCAATGGTTCTCATTGCTTCCCGTCTCAGTGACCACGGGCTGCCCACATTATGGTGCAAGAGACTGAGAAAGATCTCTAGCAGCTTGGGTGACGCCAAGTACGGGCGGACAACACATCCCGTACTACCCGCGAGTTGACCTAACGTCTGCAAGGCCACTTGCCGCTTTTCTATTGAAGAGTGGTCTTGAAGTGTGTGAATGATAAGCGGAAAGAGGTAACGCTCGTAGGCAGCTATCTGGGTACGTGATACTAACGCCAGCTCTCCCAGGGTTCTCAAAACCGCTATTGTCGATGGGGCATTCCCACGGACGAGTACAGGTAGAAGCACCTCCAGAATTCGCATCACATACGGGTCTACCAAATGCTGAGCGCCACGGATAAGGTGTCCCAGTAGTCGGGTGCTATCCTCACGCATTCGTAGATCAGAGGTATACTGCAATTCCGTGACCAGTTGGATTATCACACGGCGCAGTGATGGCATCACGAAAGCTGGATTGCGTGGTGCTAAGCGTTCTAGCAACTTCATTGCATGCTCTCGAATAGTGGCATTTTCATCATTCAGCAGCAAAAACACCAATCTCAAGTGTGTTTCTTGACTCAGGAACTCATCAAACCGCGAGTCCAAATATTCTACTACGCTTCGTCGTACGGCTCCATCCATATCCGAGATACCAACTTGAAGAAGTTGGGTAAGAACAAAATCAATTACACGTCCACTTGGTCCACGCTTCTTTACGTGTCTCCACGAGGACACTAATGCCGTGGCGGGAGATTGAGGTGACGGAAGTAGTAGCTTGCTGCAGGTAATTACTGCTTGCTTTCGAATCCGTGCATCCGGGTTCTTTAGATACAGTGCCACGCAATCGCGTACAAAAGGCAAAAGACAGAAACTACCACTGAAGTCAAAGCAGCTTAGTGTATGCAGAGACAACAAGATAGTGTCAATCTCGTCGTTTGTCTCACCCTTGATCATCAGCGAGCCATGCCCAGCCGTTGGATCGTCTTCGGCACTTGAAAAGCCCCGCTTCATCGAGGAGAACAGCGCCTGTACAGCCGTCTGCTTAACAGGTGGGGATTCGCTGGAAGTGTCATAATATGATGCATCGAGCGTCAACTCACCGCTATCTCCACTTGTACAACTCACACCACCACCACTATTCCCAGGTAAATAAGCTGCACCAGCATTTCCTAGCGAGAATGGTGTGCCACGCAAAATGCCAGAAATCTCGTTGAGCAATCGCTCCTGCACATACGGAAGCGCACTTGGTACACTGGCAACTACCTCAGCCAGAGCAATAATCAGCTCGTCACTTAGACCGCCAATCATCATGGTCTCCAGCACACCGTCTTGAAACAAAAATGGCTCAAATCGTGGTCCTAACGCTCGCGACATATTGGCAACACATGTGAGCGTTTGAACACAAAACAACTTATTTCGTGTTCGTTTGCGCTTGCTTCCAATATGTGGCGCCAACGACTCTTTCACTAATTTCAAAATAGGAGGAAGATGGGGTAGTAACGCATTGCCCACAGCCAATGACAATCTTCCCATAGCCAAGATCGCTACACCACGTTCCGATGCTGGTGCTGAGTACTCAAGAATCCGTTTGGTCAAATGAGCTACACCGACATCCAAGTAATACTGAACAAAAGCTCCTGGACAAAACTCTGCCAATTGTGGCAAAAGTCTCGAGACTGCACGATTCACAAGTCTCTCTTTTGCATCTTTATATCGCAGGACCGTATCACAAACTTCTCGAAATCTCGGGACCATGAATCTTCCAGTATTGGCAAGAAGTTCTCCAATTACCAATAATGATCCATGTGCACACTCCCATGTCGCCAATGTCAAGTGTCCTGTAGTCACTCCTAATGATCCAGAAATTAAATTGGAATTGGAATTTGAACGTAATGCCAATCCTTCAAAAACTTGATCATAGACTTTACAATACCATTGGACCCGATGTCTTGTTTGTCTCTTTGTAATTAATTGTAAACAAGCAGCTAAAGCACTTGTAGCAGCTTCCCGAATTTCCACTTTCGAATCTCGTATGGCGCCCCAAATATTTTGAAAAAAAGTCGTCAAATTCACATGAAATAACGTCGGTGCTGCTTGAGCTAATTCTCTCAATACAAAACAAGCAGCCAACCGTCGTTGACTCAATAAAACTTCATTACGAATGCCCATTGGGCCTTCTTGTAGCCATTCAAAAGCTCTTTTGGCTTCAAAATCCACAAAACTTGCAACTAAAGTACCACTGACACTGGACGAAGCCAATTGTCCCATTGCTGAAGTAGCTGCTACTAAAGCGTTGCGACTGGTTTGTGGTTCTTGTAAAAAATACCTCAAATAATTGACAAACCGGATAAATTGGTCTTCATTGGAAACGTCAATAAGGTGCTCAATTGCCAAGAGAGCTCCTAATTGGGCACTTTCATTGGACCCTTTTTGTAATAAAACGTACAATTGGGGAGTTAAATGCCCCAACGCCTTCGCGAAACGTTCGGCTGACAATTGACGACTTAATACCGCCACGGCGGTATAGAGATCGGTAACACGAAGGTGACGAAGAGCAACGTCCTTAACGTCCAATCGTTGGACGAGAGAGATTAAAAATGTTTCAATATGTTCTCGATCTTGAAACTGCATGTAGTTTTAAAAAAGAAAATGTCGTGGAGAGGTGGCTGTAGATGGAATTACAACGTGATTGAAGATAGAGATGATAGAGCAATGACTGGGCTTGCTAATGCACTTTTGAGCTTGATGATTGGACCACGGGAAGAGGAGATATTGCAAGTTGAAGATTCTGATCCGGTCTTCCTGGGACGAAGATAAAGAAGCACGTACCAGGGAGGAGAGACGTGGTTATAAAAGAGAGAACGAAGAGATGGATGTCTTTTTAACCAATGAGAGAGCATGAATTTTTAGTACAATTATTTAAGACATGCAGACGTAGATACCGGTATCCATACAGTATTTCTAGTACTGTACATGTCTTCTCTACTTGTTACTTCACAATACCTTACGACCACCTTCGTCTCGAAAAGTTGTAGCAACCAAGAGATCACTAAGAAGAATACAGTAGAGTAAAATGGCCGCCATCTCATCAAATAGTCAAGTCAAAGCTAAAGAAATGATTGTAGGAACGTGGGAGATAACTTGCATTAAGCTCGAGAAGAAAAGACCTGAACTGACTTTCTAGAGAACTCCAGACGGGGATTTACAGTGTAGCCACTTTAGTTACGCCGACTTGTTCTTCTTGAGCTTTTCGAGCAGCACCTTCTTGACAATCTTTTGTTCCTCAATCAGAAAAGCACGTACAATACGTTGACGAACGCACGTTGCGCAACGCGAGCCACCATAAGCACGGGAGACGGTGCGGTGAGTCTTGCTCACGTTCTTGTATTCCTTTGACTGCAAATGCTTAATGCCCTTGAGCGATTGTTTACAGTCACCACATTTAGGACCAGCAGCACGTTTCTTTAGGTATTGAGCTACCAACTTGCCACCTACAGATCAAAAGCAAGAAATGTGGCAAACAACGCAGTCCAAACTGTCAAACACTAGGACATTTCGAGGTCGGTTTGGTCTTGTAGAATCCGTTTCTTGTGCTTGTTTTTTTCTTACGTACCAGGCGTCTTGACGGCTTTAATTCCATTCGACTTGGTCGCGTACGAGTGTCGACGACGGTAAGTAATGCGTACGTTCTTGACCATTTTCCCTGCTGCTTTTTGTTCTCGTTCCTATCTCCCGTTCTGATGGAATGACAAGAGACGGTCAAGAGTCGCAAAAGGCTCAAGGCCAGTCGTTTTGCAACAGTGTGACCCACACGAAACTCGGGTGGCGGATTATGCGAGATATTACCCGTTACGGGCATGTCGCACGAATGTAACCTTGACCCTACTAGTGGCATACAGGATGCATGAATGTCGTACGTAGTTAGAAGCCTAACTTTAGCTGCTTCTTAGTATGAGGTGCTTCATTCCGGTGATGGAACGAGCGTTTCTATCAGGTACAATAGCAGCATAGTATAACTTGACCTCGATTGATGCCGGTGTCATAGGGCGACCTGAAGAAGCTCTCTGGAGACGCGTCTTAGACTAAGAAAAAGGACGAGCCTGTCTCCGTTGCTTAACACCAGTTTTTTGCATCCGAAGCTCGTCTTCGACTTTAAAGAGAGAGTCTGTTCTTGATACTGCGGTTTCAAGTCGAACCATAACCAAGGCTTCATTACTACAAAATATCTCAATGAAGACAGCTTCTCGCCCGTATCACTTCGCTATCGCTGAGATAAAAAAAGTGTCCAAATTAGGTGTCGTTTCAATGAAAGCTCAAGTAATTGGATCAATTGAAACAAATGATGGAAGATAAGAAAGCTACGTAGAATTCGTTCGGCTTATTGACATTCAGTACCAAAATGACTTTTAGACAGTGGACAGCAACAATTGGACTGCGTATATGTAACTCCGGCATCGTACAAGGTTATTAATGATCATTGACTTGTAAAGAACCCTCAGCCTAATTCCACGATTACTCAAGCACGCTTTCTTTACTATCGGTCAAAACGTAGTAGTTTATAAAAAACAGTCATTTTTTACTTTAGTAGAGCACGGCTGGCGCAATGGATAGCGTATCAGACTTCGAATCTGGGGGTTGCGGGTTCGAGTCCCGCGTCGTGTACACTTTTGAAATCAACATTGTATTATAAAGTAGGAATTATATTATACAGCATCCCTGCTGAATTGTCTTCGACCAGATCTAATGTGGCACTTCTTCCATACCATTCCCACTTGATGAACAAAACAATTCTCGCTCTCAGTACCTCGTCGTTTCAAAAACGTCAATGAAACAACGCTACAACCAAAAAATAATGAGGATTTGCTCGATATTTGCTTTAGACAAGATTCTCGAGCAGTTCATTCGATGTCCATCTACTCTTCCAAACAGCTTTTGACTGTGCAGCGGATCGAATGCAAACAAGATTGACAGTAGTTATATCTAAGAACTATTTGCTAAGCGTGATGGGGCCAATGACAGTCTCAAAGTATTGTATTCTTGCTTATAACTCTGTACTGAAAGCTTGTGTGTATTGCATTGATCAAGCTTCACATCGACCCGAATAATTGTTGACCTTGTACGTCCTAGCGCACACGGACAAGTGATGTTGACCATGCCTCTACATTCTGACAAGCAGCTTTGAACTAGGTCGCGTGAGCAGATTGTTTGATGAATTGTTTTCAACTTACTTTGGCTTTGCCTCCTTTTATCCCGGCAAGCTCCATGGCTGCGTAAAATGACTTGAGAATCTGCGTGACAGGTTTTCTTCAGTGTGCCAAACAAAGTACTTCAATCATCTACAGAACCGACCATCAGTAGAAATCACGAGGTCACTAAGAAATTCAGTAGGAGGTAAGGTAGCTTTGTTGACCTCACAATGTAAAGAGGATGTCAGTCATATCTTGCTAAGTAGCAATCTAAGTCACATGCTGCACTAGAAAGATCGATTGTTGTGACAAAGCGAACTACCATGATTTGTATTGACTCCACACAAATTTCTCGTGAGGCTTACTGGGCAAAAGAGTTGGAAATGCCCGGTGAACTATGGCGTCGAGCTGTCAATCGCAAGTGAGGGTACTCGCCACCTGTCATACATTCGCGACATCGGGCACAAAATTGAATGGTAGCGGCGTAGCGGTTGTAGATGATCATAGGCTCGCGGTAACAGCACTTGGCGCAGACGTTGTAAGCACAGAGACCGCAACGGCGACGACGTCGGAGCAAGTCGAACTTGGAGGTGCAGGCTACACAATGCGAGTTCCAAATGTCAATGTTCACGTCGGGTAAACTTGCATTGCTGCCATTGCTGCTGCCACTGCTTGTTTTTCGTTTCACACTGTCTTTTTGACGTTGTTGGTGCAGCACTTCACCCAGTCGACAAACTCCTTTGGCAAGACGAAGAAGTCTTGCAGCTGTCGTTTTAGTCGAACACAGGCCAATGCTGATATTCTTCTCAGCATCAACAAACTCCGGGTCGATACCTGCGTAATAGAGAACTCGTACACTAGCTCTGCTCTCCGGAGCCTTTTCCACCAAGATCCACCCACGGTAGGGGCACAACTCGTTGACATACTTTCCACTGGCCTTGCCAACGAGGACCTCATGTTGAGGCAGGGAAGTAAATATAATAGCGAAGCCGTCCTTGGTCGGTTGAAATTGCTCCACGAAGCACATATGCTCGTTCTTCTTGTGAGGTAATCGTTTTGACCGAGCAAATGCGCTTGTCTTGACTGTCAACAGACCCCCATCTCCAAGCATTGTAGAACTCAAAGGGGTAGCATGTACTATAGATCCGTAGATAAAGTCTCTTTTGTACAACTCCTGCATCATATTGTTGAAATTGTTCTCGCTGGGTGTCCTGATAAGCGAAACGAGCCGTTCAAGAGCACGCCCACCGGAGACCGTCCCCAGTGCTAAAACTTGACCATCCGCCACCGTCGCACCACTTCCACTGGCGATGCTTCTAGTGAAGATCGAAAAAGCTCGATAGTCGCTTTTCCACTTCCAGCCGTGCGATGATACATTGGCAAGAGCGTTGTCAAAGTCCGTAGTGATTTGCACTTCATTAATTCGGCGTTGGAGCTCCTCGTCGCTCACTGCCACCTTCCGATTTGTAGGTGAACTAGTTGGTATCATCCGTGCACATCCGGGGATTTGACAGCAATTGGGCGTTGCAAACCCCGCAGTTTCAAGCATGTCCACCGCAGTCGGGGAAGCCGAAGTGAACAATCCATTTCTTCCGTCCCTGAGAACCGAAGCAGCCATATTTCAATCGAGATACAACTTGGTCAGAGTGAATTGAAGAATACAGTCGTAGTTGTTCATGGCGAGGTGCAACTAGCCAGCGCATGTCTCGCATACTACCAAATGTAGAAGGAATGACTGGGGAAGTTTAAGGGTGCAGCACGGTTGAAACGGTCTCGGGCCAGTGCCGGCACTGTCCTTCCATGCGACAAAAGCTCGACAAGAATAAGTGACGAAGTATGACAACGTGACTGCGATGCCTCTTCCCAGCGTTTACCTGAATTTCTGCTGGCTATTGTAGTGACTTAGGATGGACGAACGATAGACATGGTTGCGACACCGTGCTTCTCGCCAAGAGGTCTTGCTGTCATTCATTACTCGCTTTTTTTCGCTCCGTCTGATAGATTTGCGGTATGCCCTGTCGTCGCGAAACGATCTGTCAGTGCTTCTCATTTGGCGAGGAGGTTCAACAATGCTTGAGAGTGTCTGCTCGAGTGGCTACATGCGTTTTTCCGTTATACAACATAGTGAGCATCGCCAAGCTCATCCAACGGTAGTAACCTACTTTACAACACTAGCACAAGCCAGTGTCGTGGTTGCGACTCTCGAATGGTTCAAGGCGACTACTAATCCTTGCTTAAAGAGTTTGCAAACTGCAAAAGGTATTCGTAAACTTTGCAAAAAGTAGCTACAACAAACGAACAGCACCTGGTCGAGTATGACAGGCGTTGTTGAATCCCTTTGGAGCTATGAAAGATACGCGTTGTCCACTCGCATGATATAGTTCGGTGGGACGCACCGTAACGGCACTGTATCGCTTATTCCTTCCCAGATTTTGCAAAAGCTGGCGACCGTGTAATATGTTGCGCATCGAGTATACAGGAGGCTCACGTACCCGAGAGCATGTTGGCAAACGAGAGAGCCATACTCGCACCATTGAGAACCCAATGGGTACGCAACGTCCGTTACACGGGCGTCAGTCCGCAATTCGCCGATCGAGAATGAGCTTTAATCGGAGTAGGACTGCGAGGACTGAGCTTCGCTGTCAACCAGTTTGAACTCGGATGTAGCGACATCACGCCACTTTTGGTAGCAGCATTGCTTGTCTTTTTGCTTACCATACTATATGAGCAGGAGAATACAGACTCGGGATCGTTCCGAACCGTCGTCATCTCAGCCGTATTGTGGAATGGGGCAAAACAAACCTTGCGAGGATAGTTGTAGCAACTAACAAGAGCGAGAGACATCATTCGCTTGCGTCGTAGTCACAAGGTAAGAAAAGCTGACACGCCGCAAGGCTGTGGCTACGTGACGTTATCGTTGACTTAAACATTGTGAATGTGATGTTGTCATCGTAGCCTGACGGAATCTCACTTTTAGCAACCAGCTGGCATTGCAGCGACTAGGCACGCAACACCAGGAAGTGCACTTTCACGCCGTTCGTGATACGAATGTGGACGCGCTTCCACCAGCGTTTGGACAGATGTTTCCAGAGCTCGACACGGCTATCGGGAGATATTGTACTCGCTGGAGCAGCTCGTAGTCACTTAATTGTGTTCTATGTTGGAAGACGACACTGACACATTCAATTGAGCGCTGGGTGTCGAAGATAAGCCAGTGTAGCGAATTGAAGAGTGGCGGCAGGATCAATGGCTAACCTGAAGTAAACAAAGAGATGGAGGACGGTGGAAGTATGTTCCAGGGAAGAGCGAAGAAAAGATCGGGACAATGGACGATTCTTGCAAGTCAGAGGTCACGTCTAACGAATCTACCATGAAACTAAAAAAACGTGAAAGTACTTACCCAGGGCGTAGACCACTTCATAAAGCTGCATCCCTAGCAGAAATTGCAGCGGGTATTTCGTACTCAATCTTTGTTCAGATCTCTTTTTTCTTTCTACATGGGGCGTACGCGTAATGACTGATTCTTCTTTTCTACACACGACTAGGGCACCACCTGCTAAGACATTGTTACATTTACTATTACTTGAAATGACGTCAAAACTTCAGTCGCAGACGTTGATGTCGATGCCCCTTTTTATCAGTAGCATCGACTTAGTCTTCAGATCCGCGATAGCCACGCAAAAGTGCCTAATGCGCCTGACATACAGACTCACAACATGAGCTCGCACAGTAACGAAAAAGTCCCGGACTCGAAGCGATTGCTCCAGATGAACCGAGTCGACCTTAGGACAATACTAAAGACGTCCAAAATTCCGAGCGAAATCTAAGCTGAAGCGCAAGAAGCGACTCGTTTGGACCAAAGACCTGCATGATTCGTGTCCTCAATGTTTGAAAGTGCGTTCACTGTAAAGGCAGTTTAGTACAAAGGGTGCAAGATGATGGTTATGTATGTTTTAGTTTCGACAATTGAAGTAAGGAATGTCTCCCGACAAGCTTTGCTGGCTGGACGTATATCGAGGTACTAGAGTCAATTTGTTTGCTCGAAGTGTACTTGTTGTTTGAAGTTATCCCTTCGCTGCGCTTATTCGTATGCGTACCAGCTAAATGGAAACCAAGACCTCGACTAAACGACTGCAATGGAGTAGATCAAGTCTCATTCGAAAAAGTATCGAGTCAAATACGAGCGTTGAGGTACAGAGACTTCACATGAACGAAACGAAACGGAGGTCGCAGTGTCACCACCTGCGACACCGCATCAAAGACGTAAAGACTCCAGTGGAGTGGCGAATGACGCTCGAAGTGGGGTCAATGAAACGATTGCAGGTACTGCCGATGATCATAAGACCTCCGGCAGGGTACCAACTGCGGCTCTATCACAAGACACGGACCAACACTGGAACAAGAGCGACGCATTACTACTTAGAGACGAGCACATGGCCATGCACCAGACGATGAATTGTTATCGCAAATTACTGCTTCCACACAGTATTACTGTCGCGTCAGGTCTCTCTTGGTGCCAGATAAAAAGATAGACAGTCTTGATCACACAGATGTTAAGACTAGCAGCGTGATCGATGATAGCAAGAGCTTGCTACAGCAACAACTTCAAGTTTCTCGAAGCGTGGTCTAACGTTGGCAACAAGAGGCGAAAATCTGCGGCCTTTTGCCTCAGCACCTACAGAGCCTTCTCCAGTAGTAGCAACAGCCGCCATCGTCGTGCAAAATGCATCACCCATTACTCACTGCTCAGTAAACAATGGTTCCCTGCACGAGTCTACCTTAGCACCAGCTTCTCATAAGTTGAAAGTGATACCCTCAAACGATAGAGCGTAACTTAAGTCCATGTTGGGGGTACCAGACAACCATGTCTTTACTAGAAACATGTAAGCATAGAGTTGAGCACCACATGCACAACGAATGCTTCCTCTAGCCTGCAATTTTTACCGAAGACTCGCGTCGATTCAAGGGTGACTATACAAAGTCTGGCTGCTGTATCGCTGAATCTTGGCTAATTTGCTATGACGATGTCACATTTGCTATCATCTAGTTTGGCGTCAATACTGTAGTCACAGACGTTGATGTGATATAGCGACTTAACTTCCATAGGCACCACACTCTTCTTTCAAAGCGGGGCACAGATACTGTCAAGGATACGGATGAATTGAGTGCGACAACCTCGTTCTGTCCGAAATATAATGGTGCGATCCAATACACGTAAACAAGCAGTACAAGAGGCAGCGTAAACCAGCGCAAGCGAAGCTCCGAGTTCAACATTGTGCTCAATTGATGGTGGAGCAGTCCACGCACTCATCGCTTCAGAAAGTCTGGATGTAGTTGCGTCAATATCAAGCGGTAGATGCGAGATCGGAAGAGCACTACGTACGAGTAATTGAGGCTCAAAGCAAGGATCCTGCTGGTGCGAGTACGCAATGAAGCGCTAATGATGATTACAGCATATCTGACGCTGTACAAATGAGCAAAGCACTCAGGTTTGAGCAAAAAAGATAGAGGCAAAGCAGCAGATTTACATCTTCGAAGGCGATTTGCGCGATTTAGCGTCACTGATGTGGACCAGCAGGAAATGCAAGGCCATAGCATGGCAGGAAGAGATAAAGACCGCACTAGACATGAGGATCACCAAAAAAGTCGATTTGTTGCGGAAAAACAACGATTACTCGGGAGCATGCTAATCATCCATAGATCTCTTGCCAAGACTTCATCAAATTGTAAGTCGTCTCTACTCATGCATGCCATTCCTAAACATTTCTATTTTTTTCATCCAGAAGAACGTAAAGTCGCTATCAATATCGTTCCGCAAGCATACACGGGTGTTGGTCATTTTGACACTTTTTCCAAAAGCGAACATTCAATTGGAGCAAGACCATCCGGACGACAAGAGCCGTGTAAGAGTGCTAACAAATGTTGCTCAGCGCCGTCTGCAAGATCTCCAAGATGGTACCCTCCCTCCATCACCGACACAAGTTTGCCTTCACAGCACTGCCATGCTACTCTACACAACTCGTTCGTAAGCCAGTAGAAGTCGTGGGCTTCTAATCGAAAATCACCTAGCGGGTCACGTAAGGAACCGTCAAAACCCATCGATACGATCACCAATTGGGGACAAAACTCTCGCACGCGCGGAAGCACTATCGCGGAAAACTGATCACGGTACGCTTGAGCAGTACATCTTGCACGCAGCGGGACATTCAGCACATTTCCATACTTTCCTTTTTCACAAGCAAATCCCGAATTTGGAAAGCATGGGGCTGCCTGGTGCATTGACACATAAAGCAGTCTCGACTCCTTGTCCGCGACATCCTGCGTTCCATTGCCATGATGTACATCAAGGTCTACAATAACCACCCGATTCAGTCCATGCTTGACGATTGCATGTAGCGCTGCGACAGCAGCATTATTAAACACACAAAATCCCAAGGCACGACATTGTTCTGCATGATGTCCTGGTGGTCGAACTGCACAGAATGCATTGCAAGTTTTATTCTTGGTAGATAGAACTCGATCCACTGCAAGACATGCTCCACCTGCTGCAGTTCTTGCTGCTGCCAAAGTGTATCTCATAAGTGTCGTATCATCACCTATATCCACATATTCATATTGTTGATAATATTCTTTTTTTCTTCCACTGTTTTCAACATTTGAGTTCTTTCTTCTTGACTCAATCGTTTCAATGTCTCTTTCTCGTTTTCATTCATCTGATTGTCGTGACATTGTGTCAATGTCTTTAACTTGATCATGCTACGTTCGATTTTATTATTCATGTAGACCACCATCTTCACATACATTTCCTTATGTACTCGTAATAATTGTTCATCGGTTGCAAAAGGGAGCGATCTTTCCATTACAAGCCAGGGAAATTGTTTACACAGACGTTTTAGGACACTTTGTAATCGTTCCGGACGTTCGATTTTTCCCGGTACATCATGTAAGAGACAAATGTCACTAGAAAGTAATAAAGAACAAGTACCGTAGACTACAGCAGCTGTAATGATACGCCATGAACGACACACAAACAATAGAGACTTACAGTCGTGACGCGTTAAGAGACGGGAGACGAGGAGCGTATGCAGTGGACGCATTTGCGGTAATGGAGTGTTCTGATTGGTGTATAAATGGACCAATCGAAGATGAAATTGATTGTGACAGGGAAATACGGTTGAAACCGGTATTTCATCGATAACCCATTTGTTTCTTACGAAATATGGGGCCGTATATCCGCGTTAAGAGAAGGAATCAGACGGTCTTTCTGGATGTACAGCTGACAGACACGTTCTTAAGTGTGAAGGAAAAGCTTGGGCTGTTGTTTCAATTGCCATCGACCAGTATTCAACTCTGGCAAGGACTGGATCAGGTCTGAATTATAAAATATGTTTTGTAAAAAAATTATTATTTTTTCTTGTCATGTATATAAAAAATAATGTTTTTTTCTATACTTTTTATTATTATTATTATTTTTTTATTATGATAGAAAGAAAGCAAAGAGATGACAGATGCAGCGACACTTGTAGACCATGAAGTGCAAAATGATGCTGTGATCTACATGTGCTGGAAGAAAGAGAGTCCGTTGCTGCGTTTTTTTACTCTTCAGAATTCTAGAAGCATTTTTTTAGTAATTATCATTTATTTTTATGGTAGATTCGGATCAATGGGAAGAACTGAGTGTGACCAAAGTGGAAGCTCTTGATGCTGGAGATGGTACAAGCTCAATGGGGGGCAATGGATCAGGAAGAAACGGAGTGAAGACGGACTCGTAAGGACTTAATTTTCTTCAAAATACGGGAAAATATGAGCTCATTAGCAACTTTTTCTTACAAAAAAGCTGCTAACAAAGTAGCAAAATATGAATTGAAGACCATGCAATCAAGACAATCAAATTGCTCACTCGGTGGATTGAGGATACTTACACTACATCACGCTTGAAAATTTGTTTTTTCCTTGTGTTTGACGATTGCTACCAGTGTTGGAGACTTTGGCTATCCGTGATCCGAATTGGATAGCCCGTTTCGGTAGACCAGCACAATTTGAGAGTCCGAGAGTGGCGGCCACTAGTCGTAACACTCGTTTATCACCGACACCACGAGGGAGATCAGCGTCGCAAAGACTAGAAATGGGAAAAGTTGCAATTGTAGACACCACAGTCTCGTCAAGATACGGAAAACGCGCCTCCCGACCGTGAGCTGCAATGCAGCGGTCATCACGCCCAAGGTTGCGTTTCCAGATCCGACTCAAATCCGTATTTAACTCAGCTCGCAAGGCTTGTTCCCCTCCATTGATCAGTGTTGTGCGGTGACGGCCGTACCCTGCCAGCTGCTCGTCAGCTCCAATGCCCACAAGCACTACCTGCGCATTTGTCTGATAATGAGACAACGTTGAGAATGAACAACTAGTTCGTGTTGATGCCGAAGTTGGGTTGGATAGTGTGGGTAATTCCGTTTGCTTGGACCTGTGCACAAAACAGCTGACAAATTGCTGTTCTAGTAGTTTCTTCGATGCTTCATCTCGCGTTTTTGCAAGACCCAACAAAAGATCAAGCTTAGCTTCAGATACACCCATGGAAAGCAGTTTGGCACGACAACTTTGGAGTTCACGTTGGTTAACGTGTTGGCTCTCGAGTGGGACAAGCTTATTCACTGCTCGCTGTATTTTCACACAGCAACTTTTGCAAACTCGCAGAACACAGCCATGCTTCCGTTTCCGACCACATCGAACCACAGGACATAATAGTGCACCACCATTCACATACTTGTCGTCAAAAAGCGTTAACGCTGCATCTTTTGCCTCTAGCCCAGGCAGATCAGCTTGGTGAGGCTTGAGAAACGCATTCAGCTCATCCAACGTCGCAATTTCTGCTGCTTCAGTCGATTTTGTCAGCACTCCGCGTCCGCGCGATAGAAACCAGAAGGCAGTACCGATATTGAAATCCATGTGTGTATCGCAAGGAGCCATGAGCGCTTGGACTTTGCGTTGCTGTTTTACCAGCTCGACTAGAGATACATTCACCTTTATGAAATTCCACTGACGCTCTGGAAATAATGTGCAGAGCTCAGCATGAGCTAACTCAGCGGCACGACGGTCAGGCGATGCAAAGTTCGAGACCTCATCAAAACAGACCGTCAACAGATCAACAGGTTCAGTCGCAGGAGCATGAAAATGCGCTAGAGCTGCAATGACGACTGAGTCCAGACCTCCCGAAAAAAATACAGCGACCCGAGCAGTAGGACCGAGCTCTTCTAATGAAGGGCGCGACGGAATAGATCGCACTCGCACACCAACAGCATCGCTAAGCGCTATCAGTAATGCCCGCCCAGAAGATTCCAACATCTTGGTAACCAGATCGACCTTCCCCGTCGTCGTTGGACAAGAAAATTTACACCCAAACCGATCCAAAATGTAACTTGGAGCTTCAGGTTTTGGAATTGTTAGTGGCAATTTAGGCACTATCGGCGCATACGGATGAAATTCCATTCTATACGACAACGAAGTATCTTTTGTCGCTCGCAAATCCATCACATAGATACCGGACGCCGGTAGTTCTTGATACTGCATCAAATCTTGATCATCTTCTCCAATCGCCACATTGCTCAGCACAAAGTGAGTCACATCACTCGAAAAAAACTCCTTCGAAGAAGTCTCTACTCCTGCCAGTTCTGCAATCATATCACCACAACGACTAGTTCCCCACCTCCTATAGAGCAGACTTCTACGTCCAAATCTATCGTGAGCAAAATACACTCGTTGGGTGTCGACATGTAGCCAAATTACTGCAAAAGGTCCGCGCACTCGACGCAACACCTCCACGACCGAATCAACAACCCCATTTGTCGTCAGTTTTCGTCCTGCCAATTGTAATTTCTCCGATAATAAAATTGTGTCACTTTCGTGCATTAATTTAGCTTTTATCATCATCATCATCTCATCTTCTTCTTCTTCATCATCTTTGGTACCATGTAACGAAAAATCTCGTCCACCCATTTCAAAAATTTCTCCATTCCAACAAAGGACATTCTCATCGGAATCTACAACTGGTTGAGAGATTGCTTCATTGCCTCGAAGATGCAATACTGCACTGTGCATTGCAATTGTAAACCTCTTGTTATCATTCAAATCCGATGCAAAATGATGAATTCGATGGTCGTAATGGTCAGGACCTCGTTGACTTAATTTTTGCTGAAGGTTATGATTAAATTGTACAGAGGCACAATGAGATTTAATGTGACAATTCCTGTCTAATAAAGAAGAAGATAAAGGAGCAGTTTTACAGGTACAAGTGATAGAATGGGGAATAGTGAGCACTAGTCCAATGCCACACATGGGTCTTCTATAGGACGGTTAGACGTTCATGCTCTTACCGGTATATACCGGTAGTACAAACAGTGATGATTACAGCGTGATTTTTACTGCATCGAATATTTCAGTGCCGAGAGGTCAGGAAGTTCGTAATTATTACTTTAAAAAACGCCCAGAGAGGTCTAAATGCCTAGTTACTATGATTACGTCCATTAAATTTCATTCAGTATTTTCTTCCAAGTAATATATGACAGCAGAGATTACGGCATCATTATAATTTACATGGACGGTTAGTAAAAAAACGTGAGGGTGGTAATTTAATTATAACAAGTCAAACTATTGCTACAACACATGACATTAATTCTAAGCTTAATAGAATCACAAGGATGTTATTTAGGAATGTAAACAATAATAAAATACTTGGCCACAAATGCCGATATCTCCTCCACTAAAGGCTCTCCATATCCCGTCACCTTCCGTTCTTGTTGACAAACACTCATGCAATGTCGCATATAATTACGAATACGATCGTCTATTGACTCATAATTATCTAGACAAACGTCCTATTCTCCCATTCTCCGTCATTAAGAACAGTAGTATACCGACAAATAGACCCGACACCGATTGGCAAGTGGTTAAAGTACTCCATGGTCCGCTCTGTGTGGCTGGCAATCACGTTTTGGAACTTGTGCAACTTAAGCGTGTTAATTTTGGATTCCGATGGAGAAATGGACACGAAATTGACTCGTCCCCACCAAATTGTATCATGGGACCTCATTGGCATTTAATGCTAACTATGTGGTCAATTTTCTTTATCTTGACGTCTGTTGTCAACGTATTGACATTTGAAAAAGCATCAGTTATGGAATTGGTGACAGGTGTTTTTCTGTCGGGCATGTGCTTGATTTGCTACGCTTTCGTAGGGTGTACGAACCCTGGTATTGTCACAAGGTAGGAAATAAGTTCTCGTGTGCTGAAAAAATGATAAGGTTGTATCTTATACGGCCTCTTTTGCTAATGTTGATACTAGGATTGACATGCCGCCAGATGATACGTACACGTACTGTGACCATTGTGGCTCGTATCGACCGGAAGGGTGAGTGGCATTGTTACAGGTACTTGCTGCTACTTCTTATGTATATTTCGTATTGTGGACAGAGCTCTACATTGTATGGACTGTCAAGTGTGTATCGAAGAGTATGATCATCACTGTCCGTGGACGGGCAAGTGTGTGGGCAAAAACAATGTCCGGTACTTTTACGCATGGCTGTTGTTTTTAGTGCTAGCATTCGTCTACGAGATCATCGAGTTTACGACGTATTTGCTGCCACCCGAAGGCCAAGATAGTCTGGACGACTCGCTCAAGATCACCTCTTCCATTGTCACGTCTGCCCCACGTTTGTAAGGAGAATTCGACTTGCACAAGCTCTGCCAGGAATTGAGACAAATTTGAAGACTGCCAGAGTAGCTGCGCTGCAACTACACTTTTATTGCCACCGCGAGCTCGCATATTATCGGGCGCATTCCGTGTTGTCGTGGCACCATGTATTATCACCAAGTCAATGCAAACAGGAACTGCAGAGCAAAGGCATCGACCACTAGAATGAGCTCTGCCGGACAGTTCGAAAATTCGTTCAAGCGACACACTAAATCGGAACAATGCTTGGTATGTACTATCACATCGTGAACACGGCGTTGTGTACCCTTAACACTTTCTATAAACACATTGTACTGAGCTTGACCAAATCAAAGCATGTGTTGCTAACTTACTTTCGTGACGGTGTAATTGCCTTTGTAAAACTGGATGATGACGCTGAAATTCCAGCACCCGATTCCAGTATAGTCTTCCTCAGCCCCAACGGTGTTCTCGGCGCCGAGAGATACGACTGCGACAGTGCACTGCGTGCAGACGACCCCGACCCAGTCCTCCCACTTGCCGGCGATGGCGGTGCAAGGAGATACCTCCACTTGCTCGCAATGCGTAATTGCCAAATCAAAAAGCCCACAAACGATAGTGATGAAATACTAAGTGATGTGGCTGTAGACATGTAGAATTGAACCCACGAGACAGCTCCCAAGTAGAGAAAGAAAAATGCGACACCAAAGAGCATGAACTTGTAAGCCGTGACCTGTTCCTTTTCACACCGTCTCAACCACCATAAACTAAAGGGTGAATCCCATTCCAATTGTGTCATGTCCATTGCTCGTACACTATCTTCAAGAGTATGAGCTGCGTATCGTGTCACTGCAAGTTGCAAATTTGTGCACATGACGGCACAAATGAGCATTAACACACATACGAAAGTACCTGATACTGTATATATGAATACTACATAGGAATGAACATTATCCGGTACGCTTACATTGCACATGGCACCTATAATAAAACCACACAATAGTGTCGACTGTTCCGAAACAGTTGAAAGCTGCTCCGCACGAGCTTCACAGACTAAATGTTCACTTTGCATTTTTTCACGTCGTAAAAAACGTTCCATATCAATAATACGCCATTGATGTGCGCGCACAATATCATCATTTAACCATTGAATTTCTTGTTCCCGATACGTCATGTCTTCAGTTCGCCATTGTTTGGCATTTCGGAGGTCATAAGACCCAAAAAGAGCGGTTACGACGCTACTTGCCATGGAATTGGAAAGTAATTTATTTGGCAATGGAGTCGGTGATTTGTAAGTTATTTTGTAATTATTGAGAGATCTTGTATGAAAAGTCGAAATGTACAAGGTCTTAAATTATAAAAATTGTGTTTTCCACTAGGCCTCTTATTTAGATTCATGATTCATACATCATGAATTTAGATGATTCATGATTCATATAATTTAATAACTAGTCGTTTTGATCACCACATAGAACTACTGAAAATCCATTTTATAGGATTATTCCATCTAAAGGAAGCCCTATGCACCTGTAAAATTCTTTCAGACACACTAATGCCTCAATTAATGCGAGTTCATCCATCGCAATTACTTGTTTTCTTAGATTTAATTATTCAGTTGAAAAAAAGTATATCTGACTTATGAATTATGAATCAGCTCTTGGAAAACGATTCTGAATTATGAATCAGAGGTGATTCATGTAAAATTAATTTGAATAGAGGTTTAGTTTCCACCACTACACCATATTTTTTGTTTTGATAACATATACACAACACCTTACCACCAAACCAGTATTGCGAAATACAAGCGCAAACTTGAGATCTTGTGTGCTGACATAGCATCGCATAAGATCTAGTGATCTGAGTTCGGATCGGCAGCACGGGTGTCGAGATCATCGCATTGAGTCCCAGCTCAATACAACACACACAGATATCTTCGTCTTCATCAACATTCTCCGTTTGATGACCCATATCGCGCCGAGGATCGTAGTCAGGACGACGAGAAGCGCGTCAGCGAGAATGTTATTCTTGCCAGGCTTGTAATGTACCACAAAACTACACTCGGCGAAGAATGACAACGACCGTGCCATACGCTGGGACAAGTGAGGACTCTTGACGGCTGTACGCAATGATGCGTGATGTGTGTAGATAGAGAGCATCTTTTTACCAAGTAAACATACTCTGAACTTGATTAGTGCTTAGCGCATAGCCAAAAGTTCCTTGTCGTGTACCGGATAATTTTTCTCGGCAGGTTTCATCTGTCGTGATTGAAAACTTACGACGCGCTCTCGACCCTCGTCATTAAAGTGCATGAGGACACATCCTATAGCGAAATCGCTCGCGTCACATACGACGTGGCTTGACTTGAATTCATCAGGTAGCATCAGCACTGGTGCTTTGGACGGGCCTTTCTTCACGGAGTCGAGTACAGATTGATGTTCTGTCTTCTATAACCATACTGCATCTTTCTTAAGCAATGCCGATAATGGCTAAAATAGCTCAGCATATTTCTTCGTATGCAAGTAATTTGCCAGACCGAGCCATTGACTTAATTTAGCTTAATTCCTGGGCGTTGGCCAGGAACAGATCGATGAGATCTTCTCAGGATCAGCGCGGACACCTTCCTTACTGACATAGAAACCGAGTACTAAAGTCTTGGCGGCGCAGAAGACACATTTCTTCAAATCGCATACAATTTACTCTCGCGCATAACTTGACACACTTGTTTCAAGTGTCGAAGGTGTACCTCCGTAGCGCTGAGCTTTTGCTCAGCGCGACTGTGAACAAAAATGTCATCAAAGTAGCTTAGTGCAACATCGCGAAGTATACGAAGTACTTGTGTCACCATTCAATTGAACGTAGCTGGAGCGTTCTTAAGACCTTGTGGCATGACTAGCCACTCCCAAAGCATCCCGCCTGGGGTGACGACTGCAGTGAGCAAAATGTCACTGTCCCTCAAGAGGATCTAATAGAAACAGTCTGTCAGATCTATGGTGCTGTAGATCTTGCTCCCGGACATGGTACTCAATACATTGTCTTTTCAAGAATAGGCGTTTGAGCGGAATCGTGGTGTCATTCAGTTTATTGAAACTGTGGTGGAGTGGATTCTCAAACAACGTAGGAGATTCACAAACACACACAGCGCCGTACTGCCGACTTACGGAGGGGGTACCCCGATACCGTGTCGAATTGGCCTTGGGTCTCACCTTGTGTACCCGTCGGCTTTGGCTGGTCTTGCTCCTCGGTTGACGCAGAAGACTAAAGACTTAGTCTTTGTATAGGACTTGGACTTGGTGGTCCCCGAGTGGATATACTTCACTTGGGACCGGGTTTCTTGGGCTCAATCGACTTAGTCGAGAGCGATGCACCTGGTACTATGTACCCCTTTGGTGGCTGACTGTTCTTGGTCCTTGGACCCCTTTGTGTTCTTCCCCGTAGGGAAACCGCTTCCTGTAGCGGGTCGTAGAGTGTTGACACTTACTTGACACCCCAGGCCAACTATCCTGAGGTTCAACTTGCGTTGCTTGAGCCGTCTAACACCTGCTGGACGTCGGGGGGCCAAAGGGTATCCCGCCCGGAAGAGGTGAAGCGACGGAGAAGCTTAGGAGGGGCGCTTAAAGCTGCCACGTGTAATGCAAATTCGAGTGTGTTTATTTACCTTATACTTTGTATGCTTTTCTTGCCTACCCTTAACCCTTTGATCTAGATAGTGCCCCGTGTGGACTCTTGGAAGAAGAACTGGCTCCATGTTACCTGCACTTTCTGTAATCTTCGATATTCTGTGTACCGATTCTGCACCCTCGGACATTAGGGCCCTGGGCCCTGGGTCCCTGGGTCCCTGGGCCTCTGGGCTCCTGTACCCCTGGGTCCCTGGGCCCCTACCCCTGGGCCTCCGTCCCCTAGGCCCCTGTACCCCTGGGTCCCTGGGCCCCTGGGTCCCTGGGTCCCTGGGCTCCTGGGTCCCCGGAACCTGTTTCCGGGACCTGGGGCCTGTGCTGACTCCGCACGTATGGGTCCTTATATTCTTAATACGGCGGGGCCTGGTGTGTGGTTGTAAATCCGCGAGGCCGGGTCGTGGTCACTCCCTCGGGGAAGTGACCAGAAGTTCTCTTGCTCTCCGTTCCATCTCCCTTAAACTCCAACTTTCCCTGGCACTTCACCACAGCTGTCCTTTGCGCGCTGGTCTTTCGAACTGCGGTAAGACCACGTGCACCCTTGTCCAAACTCCTCGAATTAACAGTAAGTGATCCTACGTCGCTTGGGTGGTTGCGTTCACCAACTCACACGTCTTTTATCCGTTAGTGACTTCTCACAATCTTTCCACCGGGTCTTAAGCACCTGACCGTTGGTCTTTTTCGGCACCTCCTGGACCTGACCCTGACGAGGTCGCCCCGACCGTGGACCTTATTGGGGAGCCCCCCAATTATCTGGAGGTCTCTCAAGCTTGGGAAGTTTTACGTGGAGCGGTGGAGCGGGCCCAGGCCATGGAGACCCTCGCTGAGGAACACAGGGTCCTCCAACGGGCCTATCAGATGGAACATCGCCGGACCGCGGAATTACAGCGTCGCGTAGACAACCTCACGGAATTCGAGATGACCCATGCGCCCCGGATACAGTCTTGGGTCCGGAATCTGGTCCACGAGCATGAAGTGGACTAGCTGGCCATTGCCGAGTACCGGGATGCACTCGCCAAACGGGTGGACAATTCTCGGGAAGTGGAAGAATCCCGATCCCAGATCAAGTACTGGAAGGACCAGTACAACGAGGCTGTCGCAAATTCTTCGGCTGAGATTCGGTCGCTGGAGTCCAAGTTGGACGCACTTCGCAGTCCTCAAGAACTGTCTAAGCAAGTGTTGGTACTCCAGAAGGAGGTGGCCAACTACAAGAGCCGCGTGAAGACCCTCCTCCGGGAACGTGACCAGCTGCAGAAGCATCTAACGGTTGCTCGAGGCATGGCGGCAAAATCGACCCCAGCCACGACCAAAGCCCGAAGTTCCAGAACGACGAAAAGGTCACGTTCGCCTTCATCCAAGGCTCGGTCGCCCCTTAAGCCGAAGAAGCGAAAAACCAATCGTGCCCCGGGGTCATCTGAGGCCGAGGATAGCAGTAGCGACGACTCGATGTTCGCCGCCATGGCCAGGTCGCGGGCTTCCAGTCGTCGCTCCGGCCCTGTACCCTCTACGTCAGAGGTCGGCCCCGAGGTCATAGACCTATCGACTAAGGCCAAGTCCAAGGTTCCCACTCCACCTTCAAGGCCCCCATCCCCTCGCACTTCCCACGCAGCGCCTCGAGCTTCAAAGAACAAGAAAGCTCGAACGACGTACTCCGAGGAGTTCTTGGAGATGTTTGGACCAGACTCTGAACTGAGAGTGACGAGTCTAGCCACGCTAAGCGTAAGCCACCAGCTAAAAGTTCCCGCCGCAAGGGCCCCGCCGGCAAGGGTCCAGTACCACCCAAGGGGTCTAGCGGCAAGAGTTCCGCACCATCCTCCAAGTGTTCCAGCCGCAAGGGTCCCGCACCACCACCCAAAGGTTCCAGCAGCGAGGATCCTGCACACACATCTGAGGGTCCCAGCAGCGAGGATCTGGTACCCCTCCTGCCAGCCAGGGTCCCACCCACGATGATTTCCCCGACCGTAACATCCACGGCTCTTCCCTTCCTGGTTATGCGACACCCAGCACGTTCGCCGCGGAAGATGTTGCCCCCTGGTCGATTTCCCAGGTAGGGGCCCTCGTTATCACCCAGCTGACGCCAGAGGATCTTTGGTCCAAGGTATCGCTTCCACTGTCTTGGGTCGGTACTTCTGAAGACCAGAAGCCCCGAAGCCCCCCAATCTGGAGCGAAGCCCTCATGAAGGACTTTCAACTTCAGCTTCTGATGGAATCCTGTCCTTGGGCCCAGGGGGTCGTGACCGTAACCCCTATTTCTTTTCCAGTGTCCGGCTGGTTCAATGACCTCGTGAAGCTCCATGATACGTACGTCGATGCGTCATGCCAGAGTCTATGGGAAGACCGACACCGACTTCCTCTTTTCTCCGAGCTCCGTACAAAGAGCCAATACGCCTCTCGGCTGTCCAATGCGAGGAAGAAACAGAGGGACAAGGCGGTGAGGGCTTGGATGGACGTACTTGAGAAGTTTCTGGAAGGGATGAAGGCCGGTCACTGTGACCTCGACATTCTTCTTGACCCCTACTCCCAGCCCATGATCCCGACCCGTCAGCTGACCGTCTGGTACCCAATTGTCACCACGGAG